CATTTTATTTATGACAGTGAGGAAAGAAGAGGGCCCACTCTGCTTTCTCTAAAAGTAAGGAAATCTTTCTGGAAATAACATGGCTTATTCCTATTATTTCTCACTGGCCAGGATCACACCCATTTTTAGACCTGTCAACTGTTCATGGGAACTGGACCACCATGATTGTTTTTGACCAATCGTCTCAAACTGAAATATCTTGATTCATAACCTATGGATCTTGTAAAAATATAGATTTTGATTCAGCAGATCTAAAGTGATCTCTGTAAACTTTGCATTTATAATAATCTGTCAGGTGATTCTAATGCTAATGCAATAATAGATACTGGGAAATAACCAATATTACCACTACACTACTTTATGCCGGGAACTGAACTTGAGAAATAAATACTGCGTGCACCCAGCATGATGAAGCTTACTTAGTTTAATTAGAGGAGTGACAACAGTCAGCAATTCCAGTGACTTGCCTTGAGTTACTTGGTAAGTGATGAGTCTCGACAACCTGTACTAGAGACAAAATAAATAAGAAAGCATGACAAGGATCTGGGGGGGCGGGGCGGAGAGAAGAGGAATGAAGAAAGCAAAGTGCTAGGTTATAATCCTTGGATCATATAATTTTGTGGTTCTTAGTATTTCTCAGAGTTGGGGGTTTTGCAATGGTGAAATCACATAAAAATCTCCAAGCAGAATAAAGAGCCTGGAACTGAAGAATATAAAGGCAGAAAACTCAACGTGAACACCGCTGCATAGAGATAAAATTGCCATTACTTCTTATTTCTGTCTTTCATAGCCCTGCCTACTCTGCTAAATTGATACCTTGTAGGCAGGCAAAGATCTATTATTTTGGATTATAAAATAAAAAGTTATCATTATTTTTGATTTCTGAAATGTACATGTCATAAACTGCTACTTTTAACTTTAATGCATTGCTTGAAGTAAATAAAATGCATTACTTGAAGCAAATAAAGTAAATAAAGCAATGTCTAGTGTAGTAGACTACATTTTCTCATTGATATAATGCATTGATAAGGACTCAACAACAAATAATCAACTCATTTGACTGGACCTGTGATATAAATGAAGCAAAAACAGCTCTGGTTTATTGTAGAGGAAATATTATTAAATTTTGTATCTTTAAACCTAGCTTTGAGTTTTAATCTCGCTACTAACAGGCTATTTATCATATTTCTAATCTTTCTGGATTTTGATTTTATAATCGATAAATGGAAATGACTATCACAGAAAATTTGAAATAGAGAACAGTGATAGAATCAGGATAACAGCTAATATAACATGAGGTACATGGAGGGGCTTATTAAGTGATTTTGGAAGAAAAATCTGAAATTATGGCTATAATTATTTTTACTGTTATTTTGAGAGATAATTAGCACCTAAGTGTACTATACTCATTAATTATATAAACAATGTATATCCTATTTAAGCATATACATGTTATAGCTTTATTAGTGTAATAAAAAACATGTACAAACAAAATGTAATCAATGTAGTGATCTCCTGATGTGATCACCTTAAGTAGAGCCCTCAGCCATCTCTACATTGTGGTTTAGCTCAGAAAGAACTTTGCATAAATGATCTCTAGATGTCCTTGAGGTTCTATATTTCTGTAGCTTCCCTTTAGTATTCACTTTAATTAATAATTATTGTATGTTTTGTTATAATAATTTATCAAAGCCTAAGGAAGTTTTACATGACTCTTATCTTTAAAAATATCACGTATATAAACTTAGTACATTTTAACAAAGAACTTCATCCACAAAATAATGATAACATATTGCATAATATGATGCTGTGGAAGAAAAAATGCAAGATTTGAAACCCTACCTTCAGGATGATTTCAGTACACAAAAAGGTAAAAGGACAGATATAGAATATGTAATAGGAGTGATTCAAGGTAGAAATGCTGGTGATTAAATTTTTATGATAATCTCTGAGTTTCTGAGACCCTATTCATGACAGTTTCAGTGGAGATGGCAGGTGGAAGAGTATGTTTAAATTGATGAAATGTGATCTTGAGGCTGAGAGGACGTGTTTGACTTCATAGCTCATGTCATTATGGGCATCATCTAGGAATACCTAAGAGTTGTTGGTGTCCATTGTTGGGTAATTCAGATTTTTTTAGAGCAAATGACTGATTCCAGCAGAAGTCAGTAGTGTTGTTGTAACTGTTGCAAAGAAAGAGAGTAGATCCTATATTGGCAGTACATAAACAATGGAAAGTTTTTAAAAATTTGGAATTCTTTCAGGCTAGTGAAAATTTCTGAAATTGCTGCTTATAAAGTAAATTAGAGTCAGAAGGTGAGGTCTCACTAACAGTGCAGAAGACTGAAGGATTAGGAGACAATCTCACCAACAATTGTGATTCAGATTGAGAAAGCTATTTTAGCACAGGAACCAGGTAACAGTGAAGGCTGATGAGCGTGGCTGAGGCCTAGGTGAATTTGGGGATCATGAGAATATTTACAGAACTATGGTGGAGAGGATAATTTGACCTGGTAGATAATTGATTGGAAGTCATTGCGCAAGCTGGGAATTCCAGAAGTTGAGAGGTTGTTTGAGTGGGATTGTGAAAGAGCAGTCTGCAAGTGAGGAACTGGGATAGAGGCTAAAGTAGAAGACACTGTGCCTTCCTTTGGGAAAAGTTTGGAGGAAAGTGTTACTGTGAGATGACTGACAATGAAGATGGAAAGATGGCATAATCATTATTAAGAGTAAAACATTAAGGGTAAACTCATCACAGAAGAAGATAGATTTTGAAATCCATCATGAAAGACAGTGCTAAAAGATGTGAGTGTGTTTGTGCATGAGTAAGATAATTTAGAAGGCAGGGTAGGACGTGGGAGTTGACCGGTCTTGCCGAAGGAAGAACTGAGAACTATAAATGGTAGTAAGAAAGGTGGTGGAAGATGGAGAGCATCACTGGAGGTGTAAGTTAGGGGAGATGAGGTGAGGGCAGGTAGCTGTATGAGTGCTGGGTCATGGTCTGCCTTCTGGTTGGAAAATTCATATTAAATAATGTGATAACTGAAAAAATGCAGGTTGAGATTTGCATGCATAAAATTTTTTTGTTTGTTATGTGATTTATAGGGAAAGAGAATTCAGGCTGCGTTTTATGAATTTATATTTTAGGGCTGGTGAGTATAAGCTGCTCTTACTCTTTGTGGTTAGGAACAAAGAATTAACAAAACACTCAATGGATGAAAAATGCCAATGTCAAATTTGGGACTTTTTATCTGCAGGTATATATGTGTATACAGACACATGCATATATACAAGATAATATGCATGCATGTTTCATTTCAGATATAGAGAAGAGTGTTAAAGATACAGCAGATTTTATCATTTTAAAACTTATTAAAGTAATTAATTCCTTTATTATTTACTTGTTTAAAAATGCAAAGTATTTCAAACATTCAAAAACAAAAATTGACCACTTACATGCCCACCACTCTACTTTAGTAGAAACTGACATTTTGCATTTTTGTCTCTTAATTTTTCTAAGCAACTTTTCCCCTAAGATTTAAACATATATTTCAGAAGAATATAGGAGATGTTCTAGATTTTTTACCAGGACTGTACTGGTTTTAGTTTGCTTAGTTTAACTGCCATGTTGAATTTTACTGATTGGATAAATTTCAGTTCATTATCTACTACTCAGGTATATTTTACGGGATCTTTCCCATACTTAACTATTACAAATGATTCTGAGTTGAGCATTCTTGTACATATCTGTGATCACACATGAAAGGGTGATCCAAATGTAGAAATGGACCTATTCAGTTCTATGTTTTATGCATTTCGGCTTTACTAGATAGTAGCAAATAATTTTCTAACATGACTAACCATTTACACTTCCACAGGTAATTTTACTATTCTATTTTACACTATTTGATGAGATGATACATCAAATAATGTAAAAGGACACCAGGAATACTTAGCATTTTACCTATCAGAAGTGAGAATGAGGATCATGGCCATTTATCTTTCATAGTTGTGGCCTTTCTTTGCCCTTTGTGCTATCTTTGACTAAAAGAATTTTTAAATTTAGGCTGAGGATCTCTTTTCATGGTTATTATACATACACATTTTCTCTCTTTATAGCCTGTCCATCTGTTGACAGGATTATTTGTCTTTTTCCTTATTGAACTGTAGAAGAATTTTACATAACCTGACTATTTATCTTTGATGGTTATTTTTATGACAAATACCTTATCATGGTTTGTGGCTTGCTTTTTTCACTTTATATATGATATCTTTCAATATATAGAAGTTAGCAATTTTATTATAGTTGAATTTGTCAACCACATTCTTTATGGTCTTGTGTGAGGCATCCTGATATTATAAATATGTTTTCCAATAGTTCATTTTGAAAGTTGACAGATATGCTTTTAACTTTTAGGTTCCTTTGATTACTTCTTTTAAATGGTATAAATTGGCTGTCATTAATGCCAAAGAGATAAAAGTTTGTAAAGAGTACAGATTTTGGCTTGACTGTAAATTATTCATTAGTATTTTATAGTCATCCTGTCATGATCGCATGCTATGCATTTAGAATACTGATATGCATCGACCATGGACTCAGTCTCCTGGAAGGGACAAACCTATTAAGCGCATGCAGTGCAGTATAAGGGCTAAAAGAAGACTTTACATATATAAAGCCTGGGAGAAGGGAGATGGAAGTGAATTATTTACCAAGAAGCCATTATCTGTTCTGCTAATTCATATACTCTAGGCTAATAGAAATTTTACGGAAAACTGAGATTACTATTATAGTTTAGCAATATACCCCTTAACAGATACCAATATTAACTTACATCCTTTTTGTGATTGAAAGACAACAGTGAAAATTTGTGGGGCTACACAGATATTTTCATCCTAATTTTAATAAATAGTAAGTTATCACAGATGTTGGTTGCCAAGATGCTTTAAATTTCTGGAAATGTTAAAACCCTGTTTTATAAAAGATTGGTTTTTGTTTACAGAGACGAAATGGTGAAGATATACCTGTGGCTCAGACTAAGAACATCAATCACAGAAGATTTGCTGCTTCCTTTAGATTGCAAGAAGTGACAAAAACTGACCAGGATTTGTATCGCTGTGTAACTCAGTCAGAACGAGGTTCTGGTGTGTCCAATTTTGCTCAACTTATTGTAAGAGGTAAAGTAAAATTGCTTTCACTTCATGAAATTGCATGGCTTCATTAGAACAAAAGCAACTTTTGTAGATATTTGGATTGATTTTTAAATCTAGTGCTCTTTATCTCAAATCACTGTAAAAACCATATTGTTATAAGTTTTGAAAATGTCTTGAGGTCAAATTAAGACTGTTATATAATGTGTCACGCAAGTTTTCAGTAAGTGATTTTTATCAAAAGAAACCTATTTAATACTCCAACAGGGCTAAACATATGTAAATCCTTTATTTTGCCATCAATTTAAGGCTACCAGAGGAATTGGTGAGAGATTATGATATATTGGTACTTTTCTTTAATGGATACTGGAAAAACAAGTACAAGTGCACAATGTATATTCCATTTACTGAACATTGACTGAGTTCCTATATAATTCACTGTTCTAGGTTGTGGAGATACAATGGTTAGTAAAATGCAAAGACCCTCCCTTATATATGTAGGGCTTCCCCTGGTGGCTCAGATGGTAAAGAGTCTGCCTGCCGTGCGGGAGACCCAGGTTTGATCCCTGGGTCAGGAAGATCCCCTGGAGAAGGAAGTGGCAACCAACTCCAGCATTCTTGCCTGGAGGTTGTGGAGATACAATGGTTAGTAAAATGCAAAGACCCTCCCTTATACATGTAGGGCTTCCCCTGGTGGCTCAGATGGTAAAGAGTCTGCCTGCAGTGTGGGAGACCCAGGTTTGATCCCTGGGTCAGGAAGATCCCCTGGAGAAGGAAGTGGCAACCAACTCCAGCATTCTTGCCTGGAAAATCCCATGGATGGAGGAGCCTGGCAGGCTATATAGTCCATGGGGTCACAAAGAGTTGGACACGACTGAGCAACTTCACTTTCTTTTCCCTGTGTAGCTTAACACTGAGATATAATAGGCACAACATATATGAAATTGTAGTATCACATCATGGGATGTGTTATGACTAAAAATAAATATATGAAATGAGGGGGATTGATGGTTTAGTTAAGATGATCTGAAAGGCTTCTTTGTGAACATGACAACTGAGCTGAATTCTGCAAAAATGAGGACATCAGCCATGTGAAAATTTAGAGGAAAAGCAACTTTTGATGAATAGATTATGATGCATCAATTGTTTATAATAACAAATGAAAATAATTATAAACCATATAAGTCTCTTCAAGGAGAAGTTTGGCAGATTTTAACAAAAACATTTCATCTGGACTGAGATTTGTCAGAGGTGTCGGGGAAGGCCTTTGTCATTGACTTTCTTTGAGATAGAATCTGAAAGTTGAGAAAAAGTTGCTCAGATGAAGGTTGTAGTTTTGAGGGGCAGGGATAAGAAAAAGAAGGATCACCAGGCAGAGAGCAAGGCAAGTGTCAGTGCTTAGAGGCTAGAAGGAGAAAATGAGATAATCCACATTCAAGTTAATACATTTTATAATGCTTAACATCAAATGTCTTTTACGTGTATTATTTCATTGTTAGATTTACTTGATTTTAATACTTTAACCTTTAGTACTTTCAGAAGAAAATTGAAATTCAGACTATTTGATAATTGCCCAAGGCCACAAAGATGTAATAACTGGCTGAGCCAGAATTTAATTCCATGTTTCTTAACTCCTGGTGCTGGGCTCATTTCTTTCCACCAAAGCTTTATCTCACATTAACATTATTAAATAATGCTATTAGCTGCTTGTAATGCTTTTGTCTTGAGAGATTCTGTAGCTCATTAAAAAAGAAAAGTTTATCTTTGTAAATTGGATAGAACTCTATTACAAATAATACTTTGCTTATAGCTCCAGAGTCACCTTATAGCACATGCTTTAGTTCGTGAAATCACAGCCCCAATTCATTCTAACAAGAAAATATGGTAATCTTTAACTCCAGTGTTTAGGTAAACAATTTAACATGTATTCGTATATGTTTGTATATTCATCTTTGGTGAGCCCTTTTCCTGCATCCTTCTCGCCTGAGCCTGGCGGTGCCTTTGAAAAGCCTGAAGGTGTCCTTGGGTAATCTTCAGAGTGATTAATATGCTATGGATATGGGAAGGTGGGTGTGCTCCTGAGTCATCGTGCTTGCTGTATCTTCACGAGGCTGTATGTGCATTCACGATATGCAGCCACTGACGGAGACAGTAGCTTTAATAATGCAGCTCGAGTGCTTTTGACTAACCTACCGTTTTATGTGTGTGTGTGTGTGTGTGTGCGCGTGTGCTTGTGTGCGTGTGTGTGTGTTTGTGTGTGTGTGTGTGTGTGTGCTCAGTTGTGTCTGAGTCTTTGTGGCCCCAGGGACTGTAGCGCTCTAGGGTCCTCCGCCCATGAAATTTTCCAGGCAAGAATACTGGAGTGGGGTACAATTTCCTGTTCCAGGGGATCACCCTGACCCATATATATATGGATCGTCCTGACCCATATATATAGAGAGAGGCATAAATATAGATCTATAGATATAAAATTTTTTGAAGAAGTGGCCTCTAATGTATTCAACAGTTATAAAAGGTAGAGTTGAAGGCTTTATCTAGGTGCTCCCTTTAAACGTAAGTTTCCTTCTTTCAGATAGGCATTTAGTGCCTGTTTATTTTAAAAGAGATTTATTTTGGATTATTAGATCTTCTTTGTTTATCTGAATTGAAAAGTAGATTTTATCAGAGCTTGCTTTTCTTTGCTTAGAGAACCTATATTATGGCTATTCTAGGAGTACTACTTGAGAAGTAACTAATTATTTCAATAACATTTATAAAAGGAAACTCTGAATTTCATAGAAAATCTTAGCTATTTTTCTTTCCCCTTTTTTCCTTTTTGTTTTTTTATGATGTTCCTGCCATTTAACCTGTATTTTGTTTTACATTTTATATTATACTTGTTGGATAAAGATATGATGGTGCTGTGAGTGTACTATCCAGAATCTGTTTACATTTTAGAAATATATTTTGATAGTTTTGGCACTGTTCCTTTTCTTTTTCGTATATTTTACTTTGATGTATATTTAACACTTACAGGTGATACTTTGCTTGGAGTTTGATTTGAAAACTAATATGAAACAATACATTCTCTTGTTTGTTCAATAACCACCAAAAATAAATATTGCTAACCTCAAAATACACCCTTTGGGGTCAGCTCTCCTGGTGTTGAAATAGTGCTGAGAATTAACTGTGGTGACAAGTCTTGTCTCTCATTGGCACTTTCAAAGCTGACATCCTGTTACATGGATAAAAAAGATGGTAATTTTAAAGGAAATTTTTGGGGCAGTGATACGAATAGTCTTTAATAAGATCTGGCATAGTATTGCCTGTTGTCAAAGATGACCCAAGGGTAAGAGTTTATTAGTGCATTTTCTCCTAAACTGAAAGTGACAGGGCATGCTTAAGGCTCTTTGGTTGCTGTTTGTTACAAATGAAAATTTCACTGCAGAATTCTCATGTTGAAGAGTATTGATCTCTGTGTTCCCACAGACAGAGGGGAAAAAAATGCTGAAATAGAATATACTTTATCATGACTTTAGCTTTGCTTCCAGATCATTTTGAGTAATGATAACATTTTCAGTTTGTGGAAGCCAATCTTTATTGACAAAGATTTTACAGAGACGAAATGAAGAGCAGATGTTTTGCTCAGTGTTTCTACAAGATGGAAGTGTAAAAAATGTGAAATACACATTGAAATGTGTTTATAAACTTCAGATAAAAAGCACCACCTGTAGTCTGTTATGTTATAGATTCTCATTCTTTTAAAAGAATTTAATTGAAAGATAATTGCTTTACAACACTGTGTTGGTTTCTGCCACATGGTACATGTACACAATGAAACGCTCAGTTCAGTTCAGTTTAGTCGCTCAGTTGTGTCCGACTCTTTGTGACCCCATGGACTGCAGCACGCCGGGCCTCCCTGTCCATCAGCAACTCCTGGAGCTTACTCAGACTCATGTCCATCGAGTCGGTGATGCCATCAAACATCTCATCCTCTGTCGTCCCCTTCTCCTCCTGCCCTCAGTCTTTCCCAGCATCAGGGTCTTTTCTAATGAGTCGGCTCTTTGCATCAGGTGGCCAAAGTATTGGAGTTTCAGCTTCAGCATCAGTCCTTCCAATGAATATTCAGGACTGATTTCCTTTAGGATGGACTGGTTGGATCTCCTTGTAGTTCAAGGGACTCTTAAGAGTCTTCTCCAACACCACAGCTCAAAAACATCAATTCTTCGGCACTCAGCTTTCTTTATAGTCCAACTCTCACATCCCTGCATGACTACTGGGAAAACCAGAGCCTTGACTAGACAGACCTTTGTTGGCAAAGTAATGTCTCTGCTTTTTAATATGCTGTCTAGGTTGGTCATAACTTTTCTTCCAAGGAGCAAGCATCTTTTAATTTCATGGCTGCAGTCACATATGCAGTGATATTGGAGCCCCCCAAAATAAATGTCTCTAACTGTTTCCATTGTTTCCCCGTCTATTTGCTATGAAGTGTTGGGACCAGATGCCATGATCTTAGTTTTCTGAATGTTGAGTTTTAAGCCAAGTTTTTCACTCTCCTCTTTCGCTTTCGTCAAGAGGCTCTTTAGTTCTTCGCT